GGGTGTTGAGGGGGGGGTTGAGGTGGGATGGTGGGTTTAATGGTAGGTAGGGGGGTGGGGAGTTTGGGGGACCATGGTTGTGGGGTGGGTGGGTTTAGGGGTTGGGGGGGGGGTTTTGGGATGGGGGTGAGGTGGGAATATTGGGGTTAGGTGAGGGGGGGGGGGTGGGGTGGGTGGGTCTTATGGGGGGGGGAGGGGTTGGGGGGGGGTGGGTGGGGGTGGGGATGGGGGGGTATGGTAGGTGGGGGATTGGGGGGGGGGGATGTTGAAGGGGGTGGGTATTGGAGGGGGGTTTGATGGATGTATGAGGGGGGGGTTTGTTGATTTGCGGGGTTGGTTTTGTTGGGGGGGGGGGATGATTTTAGGGGGGGGGTTGGATGGGGGAGGGTTCTGGGGGGGGTGGGGGGGGTTATGGAGGGGTGGGGGGGGGGTGTTTAAGGGTTTGGGGGGGGGGGGTGTGGGGAGGGTGAATGGGGCGGTTGTAGGGGGGAGGGGGTTTGGGGACTGGGTGGGGGGGGGGGGGGGGTGGGGGGTGTGGGGGGGGGGGGGGGGTTGGTATGTAGATTGGGGGGGAGGGTTTGGGGGGGGGGTGTGGGGGGGGGGATTGTTGGGATGGGGGGGGGGTACAAGGTTTTGTTTTTTTTGAAAATGGGAGGGGTTGGATTTGAGGGGATTGGGGTTGGGGAATGGGGGTTTGGGGGTGGGGGGGGTGAGGGGGGGGGAGGGAAGGGGGGGGTGTTTTTTTATGGGGGGGGGGGTGTTGGTGAGGTGGGAGGGGGGGGGTGTTAGGGGGGAGGTTTTTGGGGTGGTGGGGGGAGGGGGGAAGGGGGGGATTATGTTTAGGGGGGGGGGGGGTATTATTTTTTTGGGGGGGTTTTTGGGGTGGGGTGGGGGGGGTTTATCAAGGTGGTTGTTTGGATAGGGGGGGGGGGGGGGGGGCAGGTGGGGGGGTGGTGGGATCGGGGGGGTCGGGTCCGGGGGGGTGGGGGGTGGTTGGGGGGAATTGGGGGGGGGGGGGAAGTGGGGGGGTGGGGGAAACAGGGGGGGGGGGGGGGGATGGGGGGGTGGTTGTTTTGGGGGGGGGTGAGGGGGGGGGGGGGGGTGAGGGTGTCCAGTGTGATTTAGGTTGGGGGGTTGGGGAGGGGTAAAAGGGAAAAAATAGTTTGGGGGGTTTTTGTACACAATATGATTTATGGGGTGTTTGTAGGTGTTGGGTGGGAATGTTGAATATTTAGAAGTAATTTTTGGGTTTGAGGGTATTATTTTGAGGGTGTGATGGTTAATATGGTTTGGGTTAGGTGGGGTAGTACACAGAGTTTTGTTTTTTTATTAGGGGTTGATTTGATTAATATAATGTATGCTAAAAGGTTGTTTTTTAATTGGTTTTTTAGGTGGGGGGGTCTTTGGTTGGGGTGGGGGGGGAGGTATACTTGGGGGGGAGGGGAGGCTTTGGGGTTGTTCCCAAAGTGGGGGGATTGGTGGGGGGGATAGGGTTTTCAATTTGTTGGTTTGGGATTGTTTAAGTTTTATGGTATGAACTAGGGTATTTAGGTTTGACTTTGGGGGGTTTTTTGGTGTTGTTTCTGAGGATGGTGTGAAAAAGGAGAGTTCAAGAGGATAAGTAGTTCAGGGATTTTGGGGGGGCATGGGGGGGGAAGTGGGGGGGTGGATGGGTAAGGGGGGGGTGGTATGCATGGGTTTATAGGAATTGGGGGAGGGGGGTGACTATGGTTAGGGGGTTGCAAGGGGGGGGCACGGGGCATGTTTTAGTTATATAATTTTGGGTGGTTTTTGGGTTTCTTTTTTTAAATAGTTGGGTGGGGGGGTTTGCAAAATTTTGAGGGGGAATATTGGTTGAGGGGGGATATGTTTTTTTTGATTTAAATGGGGGGGGTGGGTTGGATGTTTGGGGAAGTTTGTAATTTTTTTTTATGGGTTGGGAAAACCAATTTATTGATTTTTAAAGGGGTGTTGGGATGTTTGGATTGAATAGTGGGGTTTTTTGGTGTAAGGTGGTTGGGGGGGATGGTTTAAGGCTTAACGGGGGTTTTGTTGATTTTGGGGGGTTGTTTGCCCTTGTGATAGGGGGTGTTTGTTAGGGGTTATATTTGGAGTTTGGGTAGGGGGGTTGGGGTTATGTGGGGGTTTGTTTTTTTGGGGGGGGGTTTTGAAAGGTTATAGGGGGGGGTTTGGTGGAGGGGTCCCTTGGAGGGAGTGGTTTTGGGGGAAGGGGGAGTGGGGGGTTTGGGGGTGTTTTTTGTATGGGGGAATTGGACTTTACAGGTGGGGGGGGTTGGTGGGGGGTTTAGGTTTTTGTTGGTTTTTTGGTTTGGTTGGGGTGGGGGTGGTTGTTGAATGGTTATGGGGGGGGGGGGGGGGGGAGTGGGGTTGGGGTTGGGGGTTGGTTTGGGGGGAATTTTTGGGGGTTGGGGGATGTGTTGGGTTTTTTTTTAGGGGATGGATTTTTCCAAGACTGTCCATAATTTTTAAAGGGTGCCTTTGAGAAACACTGCTGTACAATACAGAATAATAACAAAGACAACCAACGGTCCCATACAACTCAGCCCCCCAGATATGACCAGTACCACTAAATTTAAAAATCCAAAGTGCAAGTTACAATGAACTATAAGCCAGTCAGGGGTAGTGCAGTGCAGTGTCCACAGCATCATATGAGGCGTAGCCACACAAAGTGAGTTGTCACCTAGCACCAATTACCGTATTTTTCGTGCAGTTCATAAGACGCACTTTTTCCCCCCAAAAAAGGGGGGAAAATGTCAGTGCATCTTATGGAGCAAATGTAAAGCGGCCGGCATTTCCGGTATTTCTCCTGACACCATCAGAAGAAATCTGGTCATTTTCCTGTACTATGTCTGCAGTCTCTGGTCATCTCCTGTAACTATGTCCGCAGGTTTTTTTTTTTTTACATTCCTTGTAATAGGAATAAAATTGATTTTAAAAAAGGGACTAGTGTAAAAATAAAAAATAAAATAAATAAGAAAAACAATAATTAAAAGTGCCCCCATCCCTCTGTGCTCAGTGTGTGCAGAAGCGAACACTTACGAAAGTCATGCACTGCATATGTAAATTAGTTTTCAGCAATAGGAGCACACATTTGGAGGGTATTGCCATGAATGTTTTAGAGCGAGAGCAATTCATTCTAGGGCTATACCTCCTCTGTAACTCTAAACAGGTAACTTAAAAAAAAATTTTTCGTATGCGCAATTTTAAAGCTAGTGAAACTGAGTACACAGATGACCTCAATGGTCTGTTTTTTACCTCCTTAATGTCCAATCTTTAGGCTGGGGAATGGGACAACACTTTATTCCGTGTAACAGAGAAAATGCAGTCATTCTTCTGTTTGAGCTATTTGGCAGGGTTGTGTAAATATCAGAAGCGAATAGGCAGAACTACAAATTAATTTCACAGGTAAAACAGCAGACCCTTATATGTATTTTGTCTGTGCATTTAGCTGTTTGCCTGGAAATTGTTTATGTAATACAGTAGTAAATGGTTCTTATGTGGTTTCTCTTCTTCATTGCCACAATTATTCAACCCCTTAAAGACTACCACTCTGAAGAACAGAGGTTCATACAGGTGCTTTCCATCAGGTATTGAACACCTGTGGATGTCACCGAGCAGCAATCAAGCATAATAAGCACCAATTAGGCAGCTTTAAAATGACTGTGATACTCAGCTCCTTCTAGACATTTACTGGTGTGGTTACAAACATGGTGAAGGCAAGAGAATGGTCCAGGAAGACAAGAGAAGAGGTGATTTCTCTTCACAGGAAGGGCAATGGCTATAAGAAGATTGCAAAGATGTTAAACATACCAAGAGACACCTTAGGAAGCATCATTCGCAAATTCAAGGCAAAGGGCACTGTTGAAACGCTACCTGGTCGTGGCAGAAAGAAGATGCTGACTTCGACTGCTGTGCGCTACCTGAAGCGTAGAGTGGAGAGAAGTCCCCGTGTGACTGCTGAGGAACTGAGAAAAGATTTGTCAGATGTGGGTACAGAAGTTTCAGCCCAGACAATAAGACGCACACTGCGTAATGAAGGCCTCCGTGCCAGAACTCCCAGGCGTACCCCCTTGCTGTCTCCAAAGAATAAGAAGAGTCGACTGCAGTATGCCAAAAGCCATGTGGACAAACCACAAAAGTTGTGGGATAGTGTTCTGTGGACTGATGAAACAAAATTAGAACTGTTTGGGCCCATGGATCAACGCTATGTTTGGAGGAGGAAGAACAAGGCCTATGATGAAAAGAACACCTTGCCTACTGTGAAGCATGGTGGAGGGTCAATCATGCTTTGGGGCTGTTTTGCTTCTGCAGGTACAGGGAAGCTTCAGCGTGTGCAAGGTACCATGAATTCTCTTCAGTACCAGGAGATATTGGATGGAAACGTGATGCAGTCCGTCACACACCTGAGGCTTGGGAGACGTTGGACCTTTCAACAGGACAATGATCCCAAGCATACCTCCAAGTCCACTAGAGCATGGTTGCAGAGGAAAGGCTGGAACATTTTGGAGTGGCCATCGCAGTCACCAGACTTAAATCCGATTGAGAACCTCTGGTGGGACTTAAAGAAAGCAGTTGCAGTGCGCAAGCCTAAGAATGTGACTGAACTGGAGGCCTTTGCCCATGAAGAATGGGCGAAGATACCCGTAGATCGCTGCAAGACACTTGTGTCAAGCTATGCTTCACGTTTAAAAGCTGTTATAACTGTAAAAGGATGCTGTACTAAGTACTAAGATTGAATGTCACTTGGGGGTTGAATAAAACTGATAATGCTGTGAGCACAGAAAAGACATTTGTGGTTATTTCATTATAACTGTTATGTTTATATTTGTCTGACCTACGTAATTGGCATTCCTCAGAAGGGACATGTACACTGATCATCAGGGCACTGATGATCAGTGTGCCCTTGATGATCAGTGTAGCCCCAGCAGTGTCACTTGTTCAGTGCCCATCAATGCCACCTGTCAGGCCCATCAATACCACCTGCCAGTGCCCATCAGTGCCACATCAATGCCACATATCAGTGCCTACCAGTGCACATCAATGCCACATATCTGAGCTGCCTTTCAGTGCCACCTATCAGTGTCAGTCAGTGCCACCTATCAATGCCAGTCGGTGCCGCCTATCAGTGCTGCCCAATCAGTGCCACCTATCATACTGCAAGTCAGTGCCGCCTATCAGTGCTGTCAGTGCTGCCTATCAGTGCCGCCTAACAGTGCCAGTCAGTGTCACCTAAAGTGCCGCCACCTATACCAGTGCCTCCCCTCATCAGTGCCCAATCAGTGCCACCTATTAGTGCCCATCAGTGCAGTCCTATCAGTGCCCATCACTGCAGCCTCATTAGTGCACATCAGTGAAGGAGAAAAATCACTTATTTACAAAATTTAATAACAGAAACTAAGAAAAAAACGTTTTGTTTTTTTTTTCAGTTGTTTTTGGGTTTGTTTAGCAAAAATAAAAAACCCAGAGGTGATTAAAAACCACACAAAAAGAAAGCTCTATCTAAAAAAAAATTATAACAATTCCATATGGGTACAGTGTTGCATGACCGCAGCAATTGTCATTCAAAGTGCAACAGCGCTGAAAGGCTGAAAAATTGGCCTGGACAGGAAGGGGGTATAAGTGCCCTGTAGGCAAGTTGTTAAAATGGTTTTTAATGTATCAGTTTTTATAGGCTTAGTAGAATAGGATAAATAAAATATACATACCAGCATCTTAGATTTAATTTTGTGTATTTTGTCTCTACAGCTATTCTAATAAAATGAGCATTTTATAAATCTTCAATTAATTTGACAGAAACCTTTTGACCTAAAAAGTTAGTTATATATTTCAGTTCTACATATTATTATGTCTGCAGTTCCTCTATGACACTAAAAATATACTAATAAGATCTGGGAATAATATATTCAATGTATATTCCATTCCATATTTTACCTTCTGTCAATATTTTTATAAACTGTTAAAATATATATATGCTCATTATCATATTCATGAAATCGTACTTTCTGTGCATAAATGCTCATGGGAACCTGTTCTTAGAAGGCTAACCCCCATAATGTAGTTAATGCTCTATGTGTCCACCCCCAGCCTTCATCAACATGCTCCAGCCTGCCTGTATATGCAGCAACACTCATTCATTGTAAAGGTTGCTGTTCTTCACAAAGTAGAACAACTATTCTTTACAAAATACTACTTGAAAAAATGGGTGCTGGTCAGTGTGAATGGTGAATCAAGGAGGCCACCAAACATGCACGGGAACACATGTAGCTTCCTCTTATCCATCATTGTCCTGAGTAGAGATGAGCGAATCGAACTAGGCGAAGTGGGAATTCGTGTTTCGAATATTAGGAAAATTGCGATTTCGCTGCCGAATCCGAAAAATAAGCAACTTCGGATGCGTGCGAATCGAAATTTTTTCTAAAATGGCGGCGACATGTGCGGCGACGGAGCGGGAATGTCTGGGAAGGCGCGCAGGACAAGGCGCGCTGACCCATAATGCATTCATTCATGACCATGTGATCGCCATTAGCCCATCAGCAGCCAGCCAGGCAGCCACTGTGTGTAAGGGTCGAGCTATAAATCCGGCCATTTTAGAATTCCTCCATTTGCCTCCAGTCATTCAACAGAGGCAGACCTGGCTGAATTCAGGAAGAGAGATAGGGACACAGAAACGTTACTTAGGGGACACAGAAACGTTAGTTAGGGACACAGAAAAACCGTTACTTAGGGACAACAGAAACGTTTAGTTTAGCCCAGGCCCCCAAGAACCCCCCCCTAGGGCCACAGAAACGCCCGCCTAGGACAGCCCCACGGCCCCCACCCCCCCCCCGCACAGCCGCCCCCCTAGTGGGCAAGACCCCCCCGCCCCCGCCGCCGTCTAGAGACAGGTCCTGTCTCCTGACCCCCACGCAGCCGAGGGGGGCTTAGTAGTGAGAGCGGGAGACCCTAGATTTGATGATGAATGAGGCCTGAAAATCGCATCTTGGCCAGCCTCGTCATCATCAGGCTATTGCTTCCGCATACATCCCAGGAGAAGAGGGTGGCAGCTTGGCAGCAAGCAAAACAGTCGGTGGGTTTGCCCAGGAGGCAGCAGGGTCGCAGCAGCTGTGTCAGTGGAGGCAAACGGCCAACGGAGTAGAGCACCAGCTCCACTGCAGCCTACCCACCACGGCCAGTAGTTTGGTGACGGTGTGCACGGAGGAGAGTAGCAGTCAGCCAGTGAGGAGTATCGGGGGGGGGCAAAGTTTCCTACTCGGACGGTGGTGGCAATTTTTTTGTCAAGCCGCCCGAGGAAAGTAAACGTAGCCGTATGTCGAACTATGTGCCAGAAAGTCAAGCGTGGCCAGGGGGCCCCCATGTTGGGACTTACAGCGTTGCGGCAGCATATGCAGCGTCGCCATTTGGTGGCCTGGGGAAAACCGTGATAAAGATACGGCGGTTCTGCCTGCCCCAGCCCCCGCCCACTCCATCACCCGCTCCGTTACTTGCTCCGTCACCCGACGTCAATCGCCCTCTATCAGACCAGTCAAGGCTCCAACACCTCTGCTGAGGGGAGTTGTCGCTCATTGGCATCTTCCCGCTCGTTCAGATGCTCCTTCTCCTGCTACTCCTCTTCACGGATTCCGTCAGCAGTCTTTCTTGGAATCCGTTTCCAAGAGACAAACAGTTTGCGAGCACGCACCCGACGGTGCAGAAGTCTGAACGTCCTCCTGTCCAAGTTGCTGCGGTGCTGCAGTCCCTCCCTTTCCAAGTGGTGGAACTCAGCACCTTTCTGAGAAATGATGGCTTGTGCCGCCGCGTGGGTGGAGAGTGCCAAGCCGTCATTTCTTCGCCAAAAAGGCAGTGCCAGCCCTGCATTCACATGTAGAAGAGATGGTGGGCCAGTCTTTGAGCATGTCGGTCTCTGCCAAAAGTGCACGGCAGCGCCGACAGTGTGGAGCTGTAACTACGGTCAGGGACAGTACATGTCATTTACGGCCCACTGGGTGAACGTGGTGCCGGCACAGCCGCACCAGCAACTTGGACAGGTCACGCCGCTTTTGCCTCCACGTTTGCACGTCCTTGGTCCACAAAAGATGTCCGCCTCTACCACCTCTTCTTCCGCCGTGTCCTCAGCCGCCACCCCCGTGCCAAGTCCCATTACCCGACCGGCATATCACATGTGCAGGGCGCAACGGTGTCACGCTGTGCTGCACCTGGTATGCCTTGGCAAACGTAGTCACACAGGAGAGGAACTCCTGAGTGTAATGAACAGAGAAATCGACAGATGGCTGTCTCCGCGCAAACTGAAAATCGACGGAACCATGTTGACCGACAACGGAAAGAACATGGTGTCTGCTCTGCGTCAAGGAAGGTTGTGCCATGCGCCATGCATGGCTCACGTGTTCAATCTGGTTGTCAAGCGGTTCCTAAAATCCACCATCCCACTGCAAGACATCCTTAAAATGTCACGTAAACTTTGCATGCATTTCAGCCATTCCTACACCGCAAAGCACACCCTCCTTGAGCTGCAGCGGCAGAACGGAATTCCACAGCATCGCCTGATCTGCGACGTTGCAACAAGGTGGAATTCAACCCTACACATGTTAGACCGCCTTTACGAACAGCGAAAGGCCATCACCGATTTCCTGATGTTACAAGCGGATAAAGGTACTCCCCTGTGTAACTTCGATGTCAGTCATTGGCAGCTCATGCATGACACCTGCCGCTTGCTCAGGCCCTTTGAGGAGGCCACGCTATTCGTGAGTCGGTCGGCAGGACTATGGGATGAACTACGTCATTCCTCTGTTGCACGTCCTGGAACAAATGCTGTTAACAATGGCTGGTCAGGGTGCGGTAGACGTGGCGCACAGATCTCAACGCCACATGACCCCTGTGGGGGCAGGACAGGAAGAAGAGGAGGAGGTAGAGGAGGACATTTGTGCTCAGGAATTATTGAGTGAAATGGGTGGTTTTTCCACTCAGCGGACAGGAGTGGAGGAGCAGGAGCATCTGGTAGAGGAGGAGGAGACAGAGGACCCAGACGCACCGTGGCAGTATGCTGTGGAGATGGAGGCAGGGAGTCCCTCGCATTCCTTGGCACAAATGGCCCATAGCATGCTCGCTTGCTTGCGTAGCGACAGCCGAATAATAACCATCAGACAGAGGGATGACTTTTGGCTGTCCACCTTGTTGGACCCTCGCTACCGTTCAAAAATGGTGGCCTTTTTCACACCTGCTGAGAGGGAGGCCAAAATAGCGTACTATAAAAACCACCTATGTAGTCAGTTGGTCTCTGCCTTTCTGCGCCAACGTCCATCCTCAGACACTGTGGGCCCTGTGCGCTTGCGTTCCGCTGCCATGGCAGCAGGGGAGGGGTGGGGTGGTAGGAGCAGTGGCAGCTCCACCAGCAGCGGCTGCCTCAGTCTGCAGTCGATGATGAGTAGCTTTATTCACCAGCGCAGTGAGGAAACTACTAACCAGCCGCAGCAGCAGCAGCATCAGGTGGACCTGGAGCAGGACCTCAAACAACAGGCTTGGGCCTACTTGGACAGCACCCTGCCAACCGAGGTAGACAATCCCCTTGACTACTGGGCAACGAAACTTGACCTTTGGCCCCAACTAGCTGAATTTGCCCTTGAAAGGCTGTCATGCCCGGCCAGTAGCGTGGCATCGGAGCGCGTGTTTAGTGCGGCAGGAGGTATTGTAACTCCGCGGAGGACATGACTGTCCACACCCAAAGTGTGGAGAGACTCACGTTTGTGAAAATGAATCAGGCGTGGATTAGTCTGGATTTCAAACCACCAGTTCCTGACACAACTGACTAAATCCGCCATGAATCATGCCCCAAACATGTGCCACTTTCAGGTCTCCTCACACTGCTTGTGTGTTCCATTTTTTGTCATAGGGTGCTGGCAGATTACGGGCCTCCCATTGCTGCTGCCAGGCCCGTAATCTGCCATGGGCCCCTGTACCGCCTCCTCATGCTGCTGCCAGGTCCAGAGTCTCTCATGGGTCCCTGTATGGCCTCCCATTGCTGCTGTCTCCATCGCCACACTCTGCCATGTGCCACTTTCAGGTCTCCTCACACTGCTGGTGTGTTCCATTTTTTGTCATAGGGTGCTGGCAGATTTACGGGCCTCCCATTGCTGCTGCCAGGCCCGTAATCTGCCATGGCCCCCGTACCGCCCTTCCTCATGCTGCCAGGTCCAGGTCCAGTCTCTCATGGGTCCCTGTACGGCCTCTCATTGCTGCTGTCTCCATCGCCACACTCTGCCATGTGCCACTTTCAGGTCTCCTCACACTGCTGGTGTGTTCCATTTTTTGTCATAGGGTGCTGGCAGATTACGGGCCTCCCATTGCTGCTGCCAGGCCCGTAATCTGCCATGGGCCCCCGTACCGCCTCCTCATGCTGCTGCCAGGTCCAGAGTCTCTCATGGGTCCCTGTACGGCCTCCCATTGCTGCTGTCTCCATCGCCACACTCTGCCATGTGCCACT